ATATAAGACGAGTCTTGTAAAATTGTAACCTCAAGGAATATCAATAAATCTAATCTAATCTATTCTTTAACCTGATTTAATTTAAATCGAATCAAATATTATATAAACCCAGGTCTTAATTTACTCAATTATTATTTTTAATAATTAATTTATTTCTCTAAGAAGCATTTCTCTCGATTACACAAAGTGCAGTTTAAAAAATGTGTGGTTCTTGTGATGATACTTGTAAGAACGTTATTTAATCGCGATGTGTGTGTGTGTGTGTGTGTGCGCGCGCGTGTGCGAAAAATACGTAGATCAAATGGGAATATCAAAATCACAAGCCACGTAACGACAAACCGATGGACAACGCGCATAGAGAGATCGTGTTGCAATGTTACTATGCAAACTGCCTGGTATGTACATGATACAGCTCTCATGTCGAAGATTGGTCAACCGGAAAATTTACTCTATACCGTTCATGAATATTTCTTTTTAAATAGTTTACATTAACAAATGGCACGCGCAATACATTGGTATTTTACAAACAAAACATTACGAGCCTATCAAAACATGATCGCCAATTAATTGCACGTGTAAAATCAAGTAGAATCATTTCGATGAATCCGTTGAAAACGTGCTAGATCGTAGAAAGTAAAAATAATACATGGTCACGCTTTCTCTTTCTCTCTCTCTCTCTCTCTCTCTCTGCATAATTCTGCTTAGAAATTTATATATATATTCTATTACTTTTTTTATTGTTCTTATATATTTTATTGTTTGTATATGTATTTTCTTATATTCTGAAATCTTTACCACTTGTTATACATATATATATATATATATTTTTTTATAATTTATATTTTTTTATATATTTTCAAATTAATATTTTTGTATTTAGATTTTTCTTTTCTTTATTTTATGTTATTTTTAATATTTTCATCTAATACTCATTTATATAGTTCTGTGTACTTATATTGAATATTTTCTGCGCTTATAATTTCTTTTTTATTGCAAGCGCTTGAGGGGAATTTGTCCCAGAGCGCATTATAAATAAAGCATAATCAATCAATCAATCAATCAATCTCTCTCTTTTGCGGTAAATTGCAAAACCGTTCTCCGAAATTAAAATTAATAATTAAAGAATTAAAAAATAAACTTATATTTACAAAGCAGCCGACATCGATTGAGAAATTTTATTGAGAACATTTAGCGAATTTTATCAGAGTTGCGAAGGTGCAAAACTCTCGCGCGCGTTTTGAACTAAGTAAGAGTTTACGCTGCGTTATAAATTACTGCGCTTTCCAGTTTCATAAAAAAAAAAACGATAAGAGGTGGAGAAAACTCAATGTTTAATGATTGCGGACGACCACGACGACGATGTGCGAGATTTATAGTCGCGGCTAATTATTATCGGGACACGATAGGGAAGAAGCGCGGCGACATGTGCAAGGCAAGGGAAAGGGCGTAATGGCGTAATCCTTAAGAGAGAGCGTAGGAGGGTGGGAAAATATGGACGTGACGCGCCAATTATGACGATCTCTGATAGATTCGCCGAGGGTTGGAGACGGCGATGCTTATTAAAGCTTGATGCTCGTTCCGGTTAATGAACGTCGTGTTGTAGCGCGATGTGAAACGTTTATCATTAACTGCGCATGCGAAAGAACGACATAGTTACTCGATAATTTCTTACAAAAAAACAATCTTTAGACACGGTACATGTTGCATGTGACAATTATTAATAATTACAATAAGTTTATAAGTTCGGCTGAAACGCTCTGCGGAAAAACCATTTGATATATTCAAAACCTACTTTATTGAACAAAATGACAAAAAAGAAATAGAAGTAAAAAAAAAAGAGAACTAATACATTTCGCCGCGTGATTGTGAAATATTATAGTCGTGAATTTTATTTCTCGCGAACGATTGCTTCCTTCGTGCAAGAGTCTTCCTAATGTGCCAGATCGCACTTTCTACGTTCCCTTATCTGCGAGACTTGTGTGTCAGGTGAGTTTTGTGGGAAAAAAAGCTGGACATAGTTTCGCGCACCGGGATCGTCTTACGCCAACTCGCACGATTTATCTGCAGGTACATTGCGACGCTCTCGAATCGTCGCGAAACGTTATATAGCGCCGCTACGAAACGTTCTCACAATCACTTTACGTAATTCGACGATTATAAAAAAAAAAAAAAAAAAAAAAAAAAAAAAAAAAAAAAAGAAATAAATACTATCTCGAACTCCGACAAAACGCGATGCGACGGCGCGCGTACTTTTCTATGAAATCGACCCTTGGAGATCTCTGCCGTTCGATCGGAAATTAGAGAAGTCGCGAGAAACTTTTATCCCAAAATTTTTCTGTGAAAGAATCCAAAAAATCTTTCTGGTAATCTTCTTTTACTGATCTAAAAAAAAAAAAAAAAAAAGTTGAACGTCTCTCACGGTTGTTTTCTTCATATATATATACGTATATTTCGGATAAGATATTTCAAAAATTGTTACGAAATTAAATATTTTCTTATTTTTTTCTGCATCTTTCGTGAAAATAAATGATGTAAAACAAAATAAAATATAAATAAATAATTTATGCGACACCGATTGTCCTTTTGTATATTTTGTTCTCTAAGTCTAATTGATTGCAAGTAAAATAATTTTGCTTAAATGCAGTAGTATTTTTTTTTTTATTACAGCTTTTATTTACTTCAACAATTCTCTTTCAAAATCTTGGCAAAGGCACTGGATTGTTATTATTATTATTTTTTGTTTCAACGTCTAATTGATTGCAAGTAAAATAATTTTGCTTAAATGCAGTAGTATTTTTTTTTTTTTTTTATTACAGCTTTTATTTACTTCAACAATTCTCTTTCAAAATCTTGGCAAAGGCACTGGATTGTTATTATTATTATTTTTTGTTTCAACGTCTAATTGATTGCAAGTAAAATAATTTTGCTTAAATGCAGTAGTATTTTTTTTTGTTACAGCTTTTATTTACTTCAACAATTCTCTTTCAAAATCTTGGCAGAAGCACTGGATTGTTATTATTATTATTATTTTTTTTTTTTTTTCAACTTCCGTCGAGAAGTCTCGTCCCGCATTTTTGCTGCGAAATATACGCGCACTCCCACAGTGTGTGTGTGTGTATCCG